TGGCATGCTGCGGTTCATGGGGTCGCAAAGAGTCAGACATAACTGAGTGACTGAACTGAACTCCTCAGCATGTAGGTAATTTCCTAAAGCCTGCCAGTCCATAATCAAACCACAGAACCTGGCCATAACCAATCAAGAAATAAGTGTGAGCATATTATATTAGGGTAACTTAAACTTTTTTAAGAATTTGAATATTTTTATCAATGTAAATCAATAAGATATATGTTGATAAAAATATTTGATTTTTATCAACATAAATGTTACATAAAATGGATTTTTAAGAGATAATTCACTGCTCTGATTGAAGGTCCTCTGATTAAAAGTCCTCACATGCTTGTTAGACTGCATCCTATCCTCTCCTGCTCTGCTCCCCCATCAGCCCATGATGTACCTGAAGAACTCTGGATTCTAAATCATAGTTCACACACAACTGGTAGAGAAAAAACATCAAGGGTTTTGGAAGAGTCTTTGAACTGAAGTTTCCTCAACAGCAAAGTGACCTTTATCCCCTGAGATCTAATTTTAGGAAATTTATAGGTGGATGCTCAATTCATAGTAGTCATTTGATTCATATTTTCTGTTTTCTGATCTATATGATATTCTCAAGATTTGTGCCATTTTCAGTATTCATATTCAGTACGTCCCTAGAAAAAACTCTCTTCTTGGCCAACACACTGAGTTTTGTTTCCATGTGTTAGGTAACTCTCATGGCTCAATGCCCAGGTTTCACCTCCATAAGAAGAGCCTGAGCTGAGAGAAATATCATATCTTTCTGTTTTCATGCCCTATACTTCCAGATCTGCAGCACAGCTTTTCTGTGGACCCAGAAACATGAAGGGAGTCAAGCAGCAAATTTTTTAAAACATTTATTTTTACCCTGAAGTGTCTGGAAAGAGATACAGTAAAGAAATTATCAGGTCTCTCAGATCAGAATTCAGAAACGTAGATGTATTTATGTTTTGGTGATCCTTAAAGAGAAGCAGAGGCATGTACAGAGAGAACAAGGGCTTAGAAATCAGGCAAACCTGAGTTTGAACCCAGCTTTTTGGGTTACTAACTCTGTGACCTTAATCGAAACACTGACCTCCCAAAAATTCAGTGTCTTCACCTGTAAAACAAAGGATACATATTCATCTCACCAAAGTGTTTTCTTATTAATAATAGGATCAAATGAGATAAAATATATGAAATCACTTGGATAATTGTAAAATATACACCCATATACATATTTATTCTTTGTATATAACATTATCCTCAGAAACAATACAAGGTGTAATTACTAGTCTGTCTTAAGTTGTGTGATGCTGGTATATTATTTAGATAATTGAGATGAGCCAAAATGATAGAGAGATAACAACCACTGTTCACTTACAAGCTGAAGCACTATGGAATTCCAGAAACGTAATCAACAAAATATTTACTGAGTTTTACACTATGTCACTTAGAGCAAGATGCAAATAAATAGGATTCAGGCCATATTCTCAAAGGAGTTATATTCTAACAGGGGGAAAAGAACACTGAAATATAGTTATTAAAGGTCTTAAAAGATTCTAGCTGAGCATTATGGGAGTTCAAAGAAGGAAAAAGGCATATTCAATTTGGATAATTTTGGAAGCTCCCTAAAGGTAGCAGCATTTCTGAGGGGCACTGTAAAGTAGGTAAGGTGTTAAAAGGTAGAGATGGGAAAATATTTTAGAGGGAAGGCACCGGGGATCTTCAGAAGCCAGTGAGCTTTACCAGAATGCAGCTTAAAAAAAAAAAAAAGAACATTAAGAGTAGGCCATAGCTTAAGGGTGTTACATGTCAAGGAGGAGTTTGTGGTTGATACAGAAGGCAACTGCGAGTCATGGAAGTCTTGAGGAGAGAAACACTGACATCAGAGAAGTGCTGTCAGGTGATTTCTGGGAAGAAATCATCTGCTGTGAGTGAGGGTCGGTGCCGGGGCTAGAGTTTGAGGGGTATGTTCTTCTAATGTGGGGAGGGAGTTATAGATATTAGGACTCAAAAAAATATGATTGAAACATGATTGACAAGCAGCGAGGACCCAAGGGCAGTTAACTTCATGCCGTAGTCAACAGGCAGCTCGAGTGAGGCATAGAGAGGAGCAGGGGTGCTCATGGATGGAGAGCGACAAGGCAACATGGTTGTGCAAGAGAGTGGGTTATCGGGGTGCTTTTTTCAAAGGGCTGAGAAACATGAGAATCCAAGAGGCTGAAGAGAGAGAAAACTGATGTTCCAAACAAATGAAGGTATAAGGAGGGAAAACAAGAGGAAGAGAAAAGGACAGACAGAAGAGAATTTTAGACATCGAAATGTGAACGGTACGTGGAAAATATCTGTGCCTAAGTAGGTATCATCACCTAGTGCTTCCAGATCTCTTAAAATCTCCTTGTGGTTCCATTTAATAGCATGAGCTTATATGAATCTCTGTCGAAAGCTAAAACACCTTCTATTCTGAGGACTAAAACCTCCTGGATCAATCTGGCCTGCCTAGAACCCACTGGGCAAATCTTTGGTATGTCAGAACAATAAAATGTCTAAGCATTGGAACGGCCACTATTCCTCTTCTAAACTTTCACCTCCCTGAAGCAGCTTCTTCTCCTTTTCCACCTAACCTCTTCATTACTCCCACAGAGACCCTGGTTTTCCAGAGAGTTCATTCTCTCCAAATCAGCCAATCTGCCTCAAGAGCATTGTCAAATGTGGAAGTGCAGCACCAGAAGATCCTTCCTAGACTTCATCCTAGAGACCCCTTCAATCCTGTCCAGTCCCTTAAAGATGAAGAAACCAAAACTTGGGCATATATCCAGAGAAAAATTTGGCTCAAAAGTATTCATGCACCCCAATGTTCAGAGCATCACTGTTTACAATAGATAAGACATAAAAGTAAGCTAAATGTCTATCAACAGGTGAATGGGTCAGAAAATGTGGTACATATACACAACGGAATATTACTCAGTCATTAAAAAGAGTTAAATAATGCCATCTGCTGCAACATGGATGGACCTGGAGACTAAGTGAAGTAAGTCAGACAGAAAAACACAAATATCATATGATATCACTTACATGCAGAATATTTTTTCTAAAAAATGATACAAATAAACTTAATTGAAAAACAGACTCACAGACTTGGAAAATGAATTTATGGTTACCAGTGGGGAAGAATGGGTTGGGGAAGGGATAGACTGGGAGTTTGGGATAGACATGTAAACACTGCTATATTTGAAACAGATAACCAACAAGGACCTACTGTACAGCACAGGAATTTAGTTTCATAATCTGTAATAACCTAAATAGGAGAAGAATTTGAAGAATAGAAAAGAAAGGAAGGAAGGAAAAAGAAAGAAAGAAATTATATGCTTTTAAAAAAAAGATGGTGGCTGGGCCAAGACCTCCCGGTCAGTTAAATGTAGACAGTGAAATCTCGGTACCCCAATTTCGTATGCCTTGCTCCCCATTTTTCCCTGATGGAATCATCTATTTCTCTTCCCCACTCCCTTTCCTCCGCATCAGTCTCCTCAGGGCGTCTTTCACTTCAGCATTCCTGAATGAGTAAATGACAGGGTTTAAGAGAGGTGTGACCTCCGTGTAAAACACAGCGATTATTTTGTCGACAGGGAGGGTGATACAGGGCCTCATGTAGACAAAGGAGCAGGGAACGAAGAAGAGGGCCACGACCGCAAGGTGCGAGGCGCAGGTGGAGAGGGCCCCGCGCCGGCCTTCTGAGGTCTGGGTCCTCAGGCAGCGCAGGATGACCACGTAGGACGCAAGCAGCCCCGTGAAGCTGAGCACGGAGATGGAGCCGCCATTGGTGACGACTGGCGCGCCGACGGGGACGGCGTCTGAGCAGGCCAGCTTCAGCAGCGGGTGGACATCGCAGAAGTAGTGGTCAAGGACCTTGGGGCCACACAAGGGCAGCTGGGAAATGAGGACGGTTTGCCCGACCGGATGCAGCAGCCCGCAGCCCACGCCGCCCCCGGCAGGAGGCCGCACACCCTCCGGTTCATGACGACCGGGTAGTGCAGACGTGTGCAGATGGCCTCGTAGCGGTCGTCGGCCATCACCGTCAGGAGAAGGATCTCGGTGCCACCAAAGAAATGGAGGGAAAATATCTGTGTGACGCAGCCCTTGAGGGAAATGACTCTCCTCCCCATAAAAGAGTCCAGGATGAGTGTGGGGGCTGTGACAGAACAGTAGCAGATCTCCACAAAGGACAAGTAGCTGAGGAATAAATACATGGGGAACGTGAGCCCTTTGCCGGCCATGATGGTCACCACAGTGAGACCATTACCCAGGAGGATGGCCACGTACGAGAGGAGAAACAGCACAGAAATGGCCTTCTGGCATCCCGGTTCTGAGAGAATCCCAAGAAAATGATTTCAGTCACATTGCTCGTAGCAGCCATGTTCTAAAGCTCAGGAGCTGACACCTGAAATCACAGAAACCAAGACGTCTCTTCAATAGGAGCATCCTTTTCAGAGGAAAACTGGCCTTCTGCTTCCTCTTAATCCCCTCTGCCTTGAGCTTCTCCAAAACATGCTCTCCTTGAGACAAATGGGAAAGACAATGGTCATCAAAGCTTGATATTTTTCTCAAAGTAGGAGCTAAGCTTGTAATAATACTTCTTTGAAGTGTTTTCTCTGATTCAGTCACTTCATTAACTAATGAATCTTCACGGCGGAAATGAGAATATTTCATACATAAAAATTGAAGCTCAGAGAAATTCAGTTACACACAGTTCATCTTTAAACTGAGGTCTACATCTTTCAAAATGTAGCTGCTACTACTACATATTCTATTCCTGAAGTGTGCACCTTATATTTGGATCCATAATAAGAGTTTCAGTTAGTGCTACCACATACGGTAATATGGAACCAACTTTTGTAGTGGCTATTTCATGTTCTCAACCTCAGTTACCCCACAGTTATTGAATTGCAGCCTGACTCCCTAAAAGGCATAGGAGAGAGGCGGAAAGGAAAGAGAGTCACCCTGCTTCATCCGCTATCCTTGGAAGTGGCTATGGAGCAGAGGAAATGTGATTAAGTCTTTCGAGGGCTCTGCAAACTGACAAAGGGTGATCAGACACAGAAAATCCATAATCACATTTCTGAAGCCGTCGTTCCCTCAAGGTAAACAAGCTCTGCCAGCAAACCTAAAGGCATCCTAAGACCATATTCACACACTTCACAACCAGCCTGCAGTCTAGGTCAGCTTCTGTGTGTTGACCCGGTGACAGAAACACAAGGTTTGGAGTCAGGAGATGAGTTTCCAATTCCAGCACAGCTATTTAGTAGATATGTGATATTAAACAAGTCTATGATTTTCTTCCATGCCGATAAATTTCATCTGGAAAACAGAAATGACAATACCTTTTCCATGGTGCTGTTTTCGGAATTGAAAGAACTCACAAGTTTTGAATAGTAATTGTATAAGAGGATAATTGATAAGAATATCAGATATAATTTTTATTGGAGTTTAACTGCTTTGCAATGTTGTGTTAGTTTCTATGAAAGCAAAAATAAACAAATAGAACCTAATTAAACTTAAAAGCTTTTGTACAGCAAAGTGAAAGTGTTAGTCTGTCAATCATGTCCGACTCTTTGCAACCCCACGGACTATAGCCTGCCAGGCTTCTCTGTCCATGGGATTTCCCAGGCAAGAATACTGGAGTGGGTTGCCACTTCCTTCTCCAGGGGATGTTCCTGGTGTCCTGCATTGCAGGCAGATTCTTTACCGTCTGTGCTACCAGGAAATCCAGGCTTTTATACAGCAAAGGGAACCATAAACAAGACAAAAACAATCCTTATAATGGGAGGAAATATTTGCAAATGAAGCAACAGATGAAGGGTTAATCTCCAAAATACACAAACAATTCATTCAGCTCAACATCAAAAAAAAAAAAAAAAAACTGGCAAAAGACCTGAATAGCTATTTCTTCAAAGAAGACATACAGATGGCCAAGAGTCACATGAAAAGATGCTCAGTATCACCGTTAGAGAAATGTGTATCAGAGTATAATTGATTTATGCTTCCATTCTGCCGTATCACCCCATTAGTTCAGAGTCTGATGGGGACTCCGTGTTCCCCACTTCAGAAGGCAGGCCTGACACCCATCTTTCTTTGCATAGACTCACAGCAGCCTTGGGATCTGACTTAAGCATCTTAGAACTAGCTTATGGAATAGTGGGCTATGGAATAACACAGGACTGAATATGCTAAGTGACACGCTAAGTCAGCTCCAGAGAGAAAAGCACTGTATGAGACCACTTGTATGATGTCTGTAGGGTGGTAAAGTTCAGAGAGACAGCAAGTAGAATGGTGGTGTCCAGAGGCTGGGGGTGGGGGCACACGGAGTCAGTGCTTGGTGAGTGCATGTACAGAGTAGTTTGTGACAATGAAAGACGTCCTTGAGATGGATGACGGTGACAGCTGCACAACAGTGTGTATGCTCTTTAACGCACTGAACTGTGCACGTAAATGCTTCCCTGCTGGCTCAGATGGTAAAGCGTCTGCCTGCAATGCGGGAGACTCGGGTTCGATCCCTGAGTTGGGAAGATACCCTGGAGAAGGAAATGGCAACCCACTCCAGTACTCTTGCCTGGAAAATTCCATGGGCAGAGGAGCCTGGTAGGCTACAGTCCATCACGTTGCGCTGGACACAACTGAGCGACTTCACTTCACTTATGCACATAAAAATGGTTAAAGTGGTAAACTTTATGTTATTTGTGTTCCACCACAGATTGATAGACAGACAGACGGAGATGAGAGAGAGACAGAGATAGATAAACCCAAGAGACTCCCATTTCCCCTTACCCATACCGACCTCCAAGATTAGAGGTTGAAGCTTGGCAACTTTGTCCTTTCCATTTCCTTTCCCTTTTCTCTCTTATATGTACTAGGGCACCTGGTTCATTTCAAAGGTTGCAGAGTAATTGAAAAACTAGCAGCAGCTGTAGTAAGTCCACAATATGACACTCTTGCTATGCATTCAATATTAGGCACTCTTCAAGAGTAAGAGAGATAGTGGAAGCATCTACATTTTGGAAAATATAGATCTCTGTTTAAACTGAGCTTTGTGGCCTAGAGCAAAGGACTGGAGCTCTCTGAGTCCCAGTTTCCTTATGTATAAAATAGACATCATAAAACTATACTCATTCGTGCACCCTTCCCTTACCTCCCCATCAGGCTCCTCTGTGTACCCAGCTGACTTCTTGCCATGCACCAATATTTCATCCTCAGGGCATTTCAGTGAAGAACAGGAATCATAGGCGGGCATGCTTCACCCCCATGGCAAAAATGGCTGTGCTAGAAATGGATAAGTTTTTCCACAAATAATTAATTTCACAAATTATTTCTGTGAAATTTAGCTTTAAATGTAAATGCTCCCTGTTTCTATAATTGCCTTTGTTTGGGGGTGTCAGTGGGAGAGATTCTCTCAGAAGATCTATAAGGACCACTTTAGTTTTCAAATTAAAAAAAAATTAGTCCTGCTTTTCTGTCTAATGTCATTGAAGGTTAACAGAATAACATGTATATTTGGTGCAATCAAGTTTTCTCTAAAAAGTTAAATTTTTAAAGTATTTAGATTGGAAGGAAGAAAAAATAGTTGACATTTATTGAACTTCTGAATAGAACTGGAAAACATTTGAGAAAGAATTGCATAAAGAGGTCATCAGACTGTATATTATTGACAGTGGCAGTGACATTTTACCTGTGGGGTAATTTTAATTTTAATTCTGACATTTTAACTGGGAGAACTAAAGAAGAGAGACTGAAAGATAAGATAATGTACTCTTATCAGTCAGTAAGTAACTGCACATTTCCAGGGTTTATGGTTAAGAAAACCGAAACAAGGATGAACACAGAAGCTTCAGATAGATTAGACCAAATAAACAACTTCTGTGAAACTTCTTCATTCTCATCCTCATCTATGATTTCTTACTATAATTTTACCATCATAGAACTCTAGGTCCTGGGACTTCTGAAAAATAAGATTGGTCTGAACAGTCCCTCAGAGCTATCTGAGAAGCTGTATTCCAGGCTTAAGTCCTCAATAAGTCCAACAAGTAAAATATAATTTTAAAAAAATTGATCCAACTGCCTTTTCCAGTACTCATTTTCTCCTACTTTTTCTCCAAAGATATTCTATCATCAGAGGAATAAGATGCCCAGCCTCTCCTCGCTAGTGTCCCTTACTGAGTAAAATAAACCGTTGGATTTGGAAGGAAGCTTGTGGATTCCTCTTCTTACAGAAGACACAGATTCACACAGCGGGCTGGTGCAGAGCCTGGACTAGGATCAGTCTCCACAGCTTCCTGTCCAATACTCTCTCCCTTACCCATCTCACCCACTGACTCCTCCCACTGCTGCCCCCACACTGAACGGAGAGCGTGGAGAGAGAGGAGAGTCGTGTTGCTAAGAAAAGGCAAAGCAAAGCTAAAGCGTAAGCTCTAAAAAAAAATAGCAGTAATGATGTGGACAATAATGTGCTCCTACTTCAGTTTTCCACCTTCACAGTTTTCTACTGTTACATCTCACATAGGGTAGGGAACTCAGCAGAGTTAATAAATACTGGAGGTTTGACCCCTGAATTCTGCATCTGCAACTACACCTATTTCAAAACTAAGGTATCATTGCAAGTATCTTGTAAACTATATATATATATAGATAAATAGATAAAAGTATAATGAAGGTATGTAGTATAAAAAGTAAGCTTTTTGAAAATAATTCCAAAGTATGCCCCTATAGAGATCAAGTGAATAAGCTTACCTTGAATATTGCTTATTGCCTTGATTCTTAACTTTATCTTCTGAAACTTCCGTAGTCAGAAAACTGACTCACTTGCACAAGTCACTCCAGGTAGACAGAGATTTTTGTTTCGCAGACACAAGGAAATATAAACAGTATGTTAGTTTGCACTGATTTAAAACTTGGAAATCTTGGGCCAAGATTGGTCCTCAGCAATATTTAGGTTTCTGTGTAGTTCTATCCCCAGGTTTGAAAGAAGCTAATGCCTTCATTTTCACCAGAGACTTTCAGGCATGAAAATGTTTTAGCCAGCCCCCTTGAATTTTTCAAAAGGATATTCTTGCATGACTCAGCAGTTGATGAAAACTAGCTTTAACACCCCCACAGTGACCATTTTACAAGTGGTTCTGGTGAGGATGACTGTAATATCTGCTCTAAGTCAAGCTACAGAGTCACTTTCTCCTCCTGTCATTGAAGTTGGCAGGAGAGACTTTAATAGGATGATATCTAAAGTGTGATCCATCTGCTGAAAGAGTGGGCAAATCGAAGAAGACTGCCCATGATTGAAATACATGGAAGCTAGAGTAGCAAAAATGAATGGTGCAATGTGTGTGAAGACCCCGCCTGAGTCAGAGTCTGTTCCACCCAAAAGAGCACCACTTAATGCTTACCTTCTTCTATGGACTCACAAGGCACCACCCATGCCAATATTTGCATGTGCCAATTCCAGTACTTAATGACTTTCTCATGAAGAAAGTTATAGAGGAATAGAACAAGATAAGTCTATCCTAAAACCCAGGAAAATGAAGATTTAGAAAAATATTTGCTGGACGGTGAAACTGTGTGTGTTTAAGTGAATGAGATGGAAAACTGAGACAAGAGAATTGAATTCCCTGAACTTTTCTGGCATCCCCTGTCTGGGGAATTTCTGAGAATAGCAAAAGTCAACTTCCCAATTGTTTCCTTTCAGAGGTTAAGGAACTTATCTCTAATTAATCCAATTACAATGTTGGGACTTCTACTTGCCCCTGTATAATTAACAACCTCTTGTCCTGGCCCCTAGAGGTTTCCATCTGCATTTCAAGCAAATGATGGAGGAGAATCCAGTATCACATCATCCTTCTGTCCCACTGCAGACATCCACAAGAGGCTTTTGCTGGCCGACTCTGATCTCGCCCCTCACTAGCTCAGTGAAGTCAGTGAGTTCCAGGGAGACTGTAACCAAGAGGACCAGGACCACTTCGCACACACAGTCCACGTGTGACAGTTGAATCACAGAATGCTAGTCATTGAAGGGCCTTCAGGATCATTTTGCCCAACTCATTCATTTTATAGGTGCCCAAACAGTCAAAGAGAGACAATCACTGTGCCAAGCCACCCTGTGCATTGATAGCACGGTTAAACTCTTTTCCTAACTCCTAGTACAGAGGTCCCACTATGACTCATTCTTAAAGTTCTAAGCATTTGACCACTGTGAGCACATGGTTTTCACATGCAAGGGCTTCAGAAAGACTACAGTTCCCTAACTTCTGGGCGTAGTGTCTTAAGTAACAGCATGGTACATTTGTGTCTTTCAAGTTCTCTAACATCTCACATACAGTCACAGTAACACTCTATTAGAAACTAGCATTCCCACCTGACAGATGAGGTCACTGGGGTTCAGAAAGATGATGAGAATGGCTCAGACCTATATAAATAATAAATTTCCCCGTTGTGTCAAATGACTCGGTGTAGCATCTCCCATCCACACAGAATGTGTCAGCAGCAGCTGGTGGCTCACCATGAAGCAAAGAGGCCAGAAGGAAATAGAACTAGAATACGCCCCCAGCCATGCTACTCTTCCTCGGAGCTTTGTATGTTTGGCCAAATAAATTATAAAACAGTGGTGTATGCCTGTGGCCTCTTCCTGTAACTCATCTTAAATACTTCAAGAACAGAAACTCTGTTTTTAAAGCCCTAGGATTTCTCACTACTTAAAGGAACCTATGTTAAACCTTTCTCCATCAATGCTTATCTCCATAACTTTTTTTTTAACTAAATAGCATTAGCTACTGTAATAGGCTCAGGATTTCTTAACTTCTCACCATTATATCTCTGAAAAAGAAACAAATGTTGTAAAACCACTGTATGTTTAACAGCTTTTTTATATCCAGAAACTGGGACGGACTTCTAGGAATAGCACAGGCTGATGGAATGAAAGGAAGTGATATAAACAATGGCCCAGGGTGTGCATTTCTTTGGCCAAAGATGCAGGAAGAGAGAGTTTCCTTTCTGCCTAACCTCACCCCTTTGAGTCAGAGACCCGTGCGTATACATGCGCATGCACAGGCACACACACGCGCACACACAATCTGCTTAGAAAGAGTTAATCCTGGTAGCTCAGTTGGTAAAGACTTCCTGCAATGAGGGAGACCTGGGCTCCATCCCTGCGTTGGGACGATCCCCTGGAGGAGGGCAAGGCAACCCACTCCAGTATTCTTGCCTGGAGAATCCCATGGACGGAGGAGCCTAGTGGGCTGCAGTCCATGGAGTTGCAGAAAGTCGGACACAACTGAGCAAATAAGCATGAGTTAATACTGAGTTTAATTTTCTATTTTAATTGAAATAAACTTGAAAAATAAGAATGGTACATATTTAAGACATACAGTGTGATGTTCTGACATGTGTATACATTGTGAAGGGCTTCCCCGGTGGCTCAGTGGTAAAAAATCTGACCTCAATGCAGGAGCCACAGGAGAAGCAGGTTCGATCCCTGGGTCAGGAAGATCCTCTCGAGGAGGATGGTAACCCACTCCAGTATTCTTGCCTGGACAGTTGCAAGGACAGAGGAGCCTAGCAGGCTACAGTCCATGGGGTCACAAAAAGTCGGACATGACTGAGTGACTTAGCACACATGCGTGCACTACAGTTCATACCAGAGAGAACGAATATTTACATTTAAACAGTCCTTCGAACTTAATAAAAAGAGCCACAACCCAAATATGGATAGGGAAATTATAGGAACAGCTTATACAGAAAATACAAATAGCTTTTTTAGCCACACCAAGCAGCTTGTGAGATCCTAGTTCCCCAACCAGGAACAGAACCCAGGCTCGTCACAGTGAAAGCGTGGAGTCCTAACCACAGGACTGCCAGGGAGCTCCCCAAATGTCTTTTAACTGTACGAAAAGATGCACAACTTCATTCAAAATAAGAAAAATGAAAATTAAATTTTTTTGACTTCCCATTTTTTCAATTATTGGATTAGAAAAATCCCCAAATTCAGCAAAACATTTTACAAGAAACACAAAGTTGTTGGTGAGAGTACAAATAGGTGAAGGGCAGTTTGGTAATATCTAAAGCAGTTTTATTTCTAGAACTACACCGCAGCATAGTTGCACATATTTAAATCAAACTTATTCACTGCAACACTTCAAAACAATCCAAATCTTCATCAGTGGAAGACTGAACAAGTAATGACAGCATACCCATTCAATGAACACGGCAAAACTACGAGAAAGAGGAAGTTCTCCTCGCACATACAAAAATCTCCAAGACATATTGTTAAGCAAATAAAGCAAATTTCAGGTTCGTTTACATAGTATGTCTGTGTAAAACACAGAGATAAAAGATATACATACCCACTAAATAAACAATTTTCTCTGTTTTCATTTTTTCTTTTGGGGTTTTTTTAAACAAATACTAGAATTTATAGATAATATAATATATATTATATATAATGTATAATATAATATTAATAATTGCTGAATCATTAATTCAGCAAACATTTGTTCAGTTCAGTTCAGTTGCTCAGTAGTGTTTGACATTTTATGTAATATATAATAATATACAAAATATAAATATATAAATAAATATAATTATATATAATGTATAATAATATATTAATAATTGCTGAATCATTAATTCAGCAAACATTTGTTCAGTTCAGTTCAGTTGCTCAGTAGTGTTTGACTCTTTGTGACCCCATGAACTGCAGCACGCCAGGCCTACTTCCCTATTTGTTACATGTATTTTATGTCGGAGGAATTTGATTTCTCAGGAAGTTTTAAGTCCCAGAAAGCACAGTTTTATATATTTATATTTATTCAAATATTCCACAGTTTGTCAAATAAAATATACACATTTTTGTTCTCTTTACTAAACAATGAAGGACTTAAGAAGAAACTTCTCAGTTTTTTATAAGTAGGAAGTTCCTTCTTTTAGGCTATTTAAGAAAATTTTTGAAGGGAAGAATGAACATGGAATCTGTCCTCAGAATTGTCAGAAGAGTTTTAAAAAGCCAGAAAGGTTCATATAAAATTACGTTTGTCAAATACACAATAGATTAAATATAAAGGAAAAGGCAGACATTTGAGAGCACCTTCCCAACTTCTGAGGCTGATTTAATGGAGGGGACCTACTTTTACTTTGTTTGCTTGATCCTGCCATTAGTAACTGCCTCTGTATCTACTGGGAATAAAACCGTAGCTATGTACAGAGAACTCTGTATCCTGATGGTCTTATGGAGAACTTAAGAGACCATCAGATACATGCACAGAGCCTGTTGGGCACTTAAAATGTAAAGATCCCTCAAGAAGTTAGACTCTTCATGGGGAAAAGATACAGAAATTGATTTAGCATGTCAGAGAAGGTTTCTGAAGAAGGTGACAACTAAATGTCAAGCCTTAGTACTTAAGCGGTATATGACAGTACGGTCGACCCTTGAACAGTGCTGATTTGAACTGTATGACTCCATTTATACGTGGATATTTTTCAGTAGTAAATACTACAGTACTACATGGTCCATAGTCAGTTGAATCGGGATGCAAAGGGCCAGCTATAAGTTATATGCAGGTTAACCCCCACATTGTTCAAGGGTCAGTTGTGTTAGGAAACAAATTTTAATGTTATGGTGATCCATCTGATTCTACACGTGAATGAGTAAAAATCACTTTGTCAAAATACGTGCTAGGTTTTAAAACTGTCTTTACTACTTCATGTAGATATTAAGAAGATACTTGGGGAGAATTAAATTTTTAAAGAGGCTCTATTCATTCACCAAGTGTGGCATGAGCTTGGCGTTCTGTTTAGGACAGAGGATACAGAAGTGAGTCAGCTACTCAATAAGCTACATATGGTCTCCTTGCCCTTTAGTCCATTATAGGCAGGCTCTGAGGAACTAGTGCTTGTCTGCATCTAGGAAATTGTGTTTCATTTTTTTAAAGTAAATTTCAGAATTTATTTTAGAAAATACTTTTTTAAAATAGATATTTAAAATTTTGAATCTAAACTTTGAAACTGGTGATTCCATTTAGGGGGTGGAGATGGGACACCTCTGCTAAAATGAATTTTAACTTTAATTGTACTTGAATAAAACTGACCTTAACAGATATTTCTAGCAATATTCATAAATTTATTTCTTCCAAGAAGAAGATATCCTCTCTTAACTCCTGATATTTAGCTGCTTTTGTTTAAACATTGAATTCTTAATTTTGAGAAATGATAATCCAGTAATTCTAATCAAAAGAACTCTTCAGCTGAGGAAAAATTCTGCATAAAAACAAGGTGGCTAAAAGCTACCAATTAAATCAAAAAAGTAAGAAGCTACACTTGGAGCCAGGAAAGGTTTTTGAATAAGAGAGGTGACACGGTGATTCAAGAAAGTATGACTGCATTTTGTTTACAGGATTGAGGGGAATAACTGAAATTATGGAGTCTGAGCTAGAGGTTAAAGTGGTCAGGGAGGGTATGAATGAAAAGTTAAGAGCTAGATTGAGCTTTAAAGAATCCTTCAGAGTTGAAGTAGAAAGAGTGAGTAATCTAGTGCTTTAGTTGATATTACTGGGAGCGTTTTTGAATTAATGATACTATGGATTCTTTTTTTTTGCAATAGAAAGTCTCTTGTTTAAAAGAAAGCAACCTTAAGAGCCAGTGTATGATTTTCTTATGAAACTTGCAAAATCAGTCAAGGAAAAACAAATTATATGAACTTCAGTAGGAGATGTGAATAAATGTGATCAGAGATCAATTAGATGTTTT